GGTGGGGAGTGGAGGGGAGAGAGTAGGAGGGGGGGAGGTAGACAATAGACTAAAAATCAAGATGTAAAAAGCAGATAGATTATCTCAGTCATCAAAGGGCTGAGGCTAGAGGATATTGATAATTAGCACTGAATACTCATGGTATATGCAATAACTTGAAATTAGAAATAGACTAACGCTCGAAATGATGCTTGTTTAAAAATGCCAGCAAGCTAGTACCTCAAAATACCGATAACCCCCCTCCCCTCCTCCTTTCTCGATACCTAGGCCATGGCCGATGAGTTTCTCAAGGTGGCCAGAGTTATCTAATCGAAATATTGGCTCCTTTCCACTTTGAGGTAGTGAGGTTCTTAAAACTGGCAGGCCATTGATCTAACAAATGTTCTTCTCATTTAAACAAATAATTCTCAATCTAGAGTCTCTCACAATCGATTGCATACCTAAATGTTGGGGATTTTTAATGTTTTCAACCGCTTTGCGTTTATAATTCGCAAATTGGCAATCTCATATGCCATGAGAGCCAACCAGGGTTAAACTACCTACAGTGGTATTAATTTAACCTTGAATGAAATCTATGCTCAAATGCGTGTGGCAGCCTTGACACTTTGAATGTGACAGTTATAGCGTTTGAAAGCTAATAAAAATAGGCCTTTGAAATGCTAGTGAGCAGGACAATGAACGCTGAACAGCATGAGCGAGAATTTGCTCTGTCAATGCAAGGGATGGTTCATTAAATGTTAGAACTCTGTAGCTTGTTCACTAAGACAAATTGAACTTATTGATTCTCTCATTGCAGCAAACGGACACTACATTTCAGTCCCTTTTTTACGATGACAAAGTTTATTTATATTTATTTCAAATGGCAGGCATTTTGATAGATATCATTAGCCTGACTTCGGGTTTCAAAGTAGCAGAAAGTCGAGGGGTGGGGAACAGAAGAGCGATCCACAGACGTAAAAGAGGCAGACAGACACAAAGGTAGAGAAAAAGGTAAGGTGAGTACTGTGAAAGGGGTCGAATATGACAACCAGGGGGGTCATGGTAGTTTGTCCGGGATGCACCACGTGGAGGTAAGTCAATCGCACACCCCACGATGACAAAGTAATGACTTTATAACTTGCCTAGACTTACAATGACAAAAGTCGAAATTGCTTTTTAATTGACCAAAGTCGCTTAGTGTGCATTTACGATGGTCGTAGGTACTACTTGAAGGACCTTTCATTTAGGATGCCAAGAGGTTTTACTATTCCGCATTTTAAGGACTTGTGATCTCATTTTTGAGCACCGTTTGGGGGACAAGGAAGAATTCCTAGTTTTCTAATAAATGGTCAGAGTAATAATCTAGGCAAATGACCATTCCACTAATTTAGTGACTTTTGATTGGGTGGACTAGCTACGGTGACTGAGATTCTCTCTTGCATTTCGTCACCCCTCAACGAATGACAAATGGAGCTTTGTTTTAAACAAGCCAAATATATGACATAGGATAGCCATGAAAAAAGTTTAAAAGATAACAAAATAAACAAAATGCGAAATATATTATTTTGTAATTGCGCAAATATTATATGCGACATATAATTTTGGCAATTTAAAATGACAACAACTATTTCGAAAGTAACAAATTAAAAATAAACTAATTTGACGTTTCGATCGGTTTCGCAATCCCCGATTATGTCTTTAAAATTAAAATTATTTTGCGCATACTAATTAAAGGTGACATTTTTAAAAAAATTGTAAAGTTTTCATTAATTAAATGTAGATGAATAAACAGGCGATCTTACAGAAAAAAGTTGTAGAAATCACTGGAATAACTTTTTTCACACTTAAGTACTTTGTAAGAACATGTAAGTATCACTTTAGGGATGAATAATTAACTATACTCAAAAGTATCTATGCCTTAGAAAAGTTTAAATTATTAATTATGATCGCAAATATTTAATGAAACTGCTAGGAGGAAGATAGATTTATGAGAATTTGCAAAATTATGGACAATGAGATTAAAGACTCAAAGGATTTCTTTCACCTTTTAGGGACGAAAAGGGGACCCAAAATGTAAGCGATAAGTCAGTCTAACTGCAATTCCTACAATAAATTCATTTTGCCAATTCTTCGAATGATTATACAACTTGAATTTTGCTTCGGTCATCTTTTTAATGGATGACTTTCAACTTTCAAATATTGGGGGGGGGGGGGTGGACGAGGTCATTTTTAAAACTGACATCGGTTACAGAGCCAAAACAACAGGTCCTTTTATTGTAACCTCCAGCCCTTGTCTATGGAATATAATTAATTGCTTTCATGATGTCACGTATTTGTATTCTTCTGAAATTTCGGCGCTCAAGAACGCCTATAGTTGATAGAAATTAATAAACTTAAAAAAAACACAGGATGTCTGAGTGAAAATTGGCAGAGGTATGTACTCAATTCTACGCAGGAACCGCTGTCAACTTCCGGATCGATAGGATGCTAATCAAAGAATGTTACGACGTGAAGTTCCTCCTCCTCCTCACATTGAAGCTCCAAAGTCATCAAATCGCTAACATTCTGCAGTGTCTCTGACATCACTGGGGACAGGAAATCACTAAATTGGGGCAGACAAATTGCATATACTTTCTTCACCAGGTAGAAAATCAGATGCAGACGAAGTCGACGTGGACATGGCTTATGGCAGAGACTCATGTGCCTCAATCGTTCCAGAGGTCTATGCAAATGAACACCGAGCCCTTAAAATACTCAAACAACCCGTTGGAAATGAGTATTGATTTCCTCAATTACTTTATTTGCTTATTGCCGTTTCAATTGTTTACTTTAAAAGTACAAATTTGAGTGTGTTTTGTTAGTTGTTGTTTAACTTTGAGGGCCGATTGGTTGAAAGTTGCCTTAGGCGTAGGATTTCAAGGTACCCTATAACGTCAGTCCAAATTCATCTGAGAGTTGAAGCTTAAAAAGGTTGGTTTAGGGCATCACCCTGGTATCATTACGTGATATGAGATCTTCAGTCCGGCATAGCTTCCTTTGTTAAATTATAATGAATTCTAATTTTAAGAAACTCAAGTGACCTTGTAGGAGGGATATCATCGGTCATTAACAGTATTGAGTGACTGAGGTAGAATAGAAGTGCTCATAACACTTGACTTTGGAGTGGAAACGTAACCATACTACTAGGCAGAATTAACTAAGGCCGTCGATTATCCAATTCACAAGGTTTATTTTATTTAATATCTTTTGCCCATATATTTGAATTTCGTTTGTCTAATAAACAGTTTTTTACAGATTTTATTTTCTAATCAGAAACCTGACTTTAAGATGATTTCGAAGATATTATGCACACTTATAATAATAATAAAAATAATAATAATACTTATTATTATAAAGTTCTAAACATGATTCATAGGATTCGGTTATTATAAACCTTTTTATGGCATGAAATTACAAGTGGATTAAGGTAGACAACGAGAATCCTTTAAAACTAGAAGAATGTTTGGATTTCTGCTACCTATGTCCTTCGATAAGTAAGCAATTTCATATAAACTATCATTTTATGACAAGGCCAAATCCGTTTCACCCCCCTCCCCCCCCCCCCCCCCCCCCCCACCTCTCTTGACTGCTTCCTTTCAGCTGCATCCATGATCCCACTGGTTTACTTTTAGTACTTATCGTATACATCATTGGATGGGGAGTGCGATAGACTTAC